CTCTGAGGTGTCCCTGTTTGCAGATGACGTGAAGTTGATGAGAAGAATTCACTCGATCGAAGGGCCAGCAGAACTACAAAGGGATCTGGACAGGCTGCAGACCTGGTCCAGCAATTGGCTCCTGGAGTTCAATCCCACCAAGTGCAAAGTCATGAAGATTGGGGAAGGGCAAAGAAGGCCGCAGACGGAGTACAGTCTAGGGGGTCAGAGACTACAAACGTCACTCAAGGAAAAAGATCTTGGGGTGAGTATAACACCAGGCACATCTCCTGAAGCGCACATCAACCAAATAACTGCTGCAGCATATGGGCGCCTAGCAAACCTCAGAACAGCATTCCGACATCTTAATAAGGAATCATTCAGGACCCTGTACATCATGTACGTTAGGCCCATATTGGAGTATGCGGCACCAGTTTGGAACCCACACCTAGCCAAGCACGTGAAGAAACTAGAGAAAGTGCAAAGGTTTGCAACAAGACTAGTCCCAGAGCTAAGAGGTATGTCCTACGAGGAGAGGTTAAGGGAAATCAACCTGACGACACTGGAGGACAGGAGAGATAGGGGGGACATGATAACGACATACAAAATACTGAGAGGAATTGACAAGGTGGACAAAGACAGGATGTTCCAGAGATTGGACACAGTAACAAGGGGACACAGTTGGAAGCTGAAGACACAGATGAATCACAGGGATGTTAGGAAGTATTTCTTCAGCCACAGAGTAGTCAGTAAGTGGAATAGTTTGGGAAGCGATGTAGTGGAGGCAGGATCCATACATAGCTTTAAGCAGAGGTATGATAAAGCTCACGGCTCAGGGAGAGTGACCTAGTAGCGATCAGTGAAGAGGCGGGGCCAGGAGCTCGGACTCGACCCCCGCAACCTCAGCTAGGTGAGTACAACTAGGTGAGTACACAGGATGTTCAAGAGATGGGACACAGAAACGAGGGGTCACATTTGGAAGTTGAAAACTCAGATGAGTCAAAGGGATGTTAGGAAGTATTTTTTCAGTCACAGAGTTGTCAGGAAGTGGAATAGTCTGCAAAGTGACGTAGTGGAGGCAGGAACGATACATAGTTTTAAGACGAGGTTTGATTAAGGTCATGGAGCAGGTACAGGGAGGACCTAGCAGCGATCAGCGAGAAGGCAACAACATATAGGTGACTACACACACACACACACACACACACACACACACACACACACACACACACAGCAAAACCTGGAGGACCAGGCAGGTGCATTGCAGTGGATCGGGGAATACCTCATGGGAAGACATCAGCGAGTCACGGTACGTGGCGAGGTGTCAGAGTGGGCGACTGTGACTAGCGGGGTTCCACAGGGGTCAGTCCTAGCTAGGACAGGTACTATTTCTGGTATATGTGAACGAAATGACGGAAGGAATAGACTCAGAAGTGTTTCTGTTTGCAGATCGTGTGAAGTTAATGAGGAGAATTCAATCAGAGGAGGACTAGGCAGGACAACAAAGGGATCTGCACAAGCTGCAGGCCTGGTCCAGAAACTGGCTCCTGGAGTTCAACCCCACCAAATGCAAAGTCATGAAGACTGGGGAAGGGCAAATAAGACCGCAGACGGAGTACAGTCTAGGGGGCCAGAGACTACAAAAATCACTCAAGGAAAAAGATCTTGGGGTGAATATAACACCGAGCACATCTCCTGAGGCGCACATCGACCAAATATCTGCTGCAGCATATGGGCACCTAGCAAACCTAAGGCTAGCATTCCGACATCACAGTAAGAACCTTGTTCACCGTGTACCGTTCAGGACCCTGTACACTGTGTACGTCAGGCCCATATTGGAGTATGTAGCATCAGTTTGGAACCCACACCTAACCAGCACCTTAAGAAATTAGAGAAAGTGCAAAGGTTTCCAAACGAGACTAGTCCCAGAGTTAAGGGGTATGTCCTACGACATGACACTGGAGGTCAGGAGAGATAGGAGAGATATGATAACGACATATAAAATGCTGAAATGAATCGATAAGGTGGACAGAGATAGGACGTTCCAGAGATGGGGAGCAGCAACAAGGGAAGTTGAAAACTCGGACGAGTCCCAGGGATGTTAGGAAGTATTTCTTCAGCCACAGAGTTGTCAGGAAGTGGAATAGTCTGGAAAGTGATGTAGTGCAGGCAGGATCCGTACATAGTTTTAAGAAGAGATATGATAAAGCTCATGGAGCAGGGAGAGCGACCAGTGAAGAGACGGGGCCAGGAACTGTGACGCGACTCCTACAACCACAACTAGGTGAGTACACACATACACAATATATAAACATATTAGCAACGTATATATGCATTCAAACAGACGTTACCCTGCTCTTGAACTCTCTTTGTCATGTCCTCGGTGACTCAGAACAATTCGCTATTTTAGTCTTTATTCTCCAACCTCGATCTCTTGCTGTTTAGCAGTGGGCTGTAGAATGTCATAATTATGTCCACTATGTGGTTTCTGTACTAATTATTATTTTAAGAGGAACGTGAGCAAACACAAGTATAATAAAACACAAGCGTTTTCAAATGCCCTAGTGTTTGCTCAAGCTTCTTTTTAAATATATTTGTTAGAATTATTTACCATGGTTAATGTTCATTATTGTATGTCCCTTCGAGACTGAACATAATGTCATTCTTTCACATCACGTTTCTTCATTACTTGGCACTGGTAGACCTACAGGAGGCCTACCAATTTTTCTGATCTGTTTATGTAAGATAATGTTTGACCAAACTGAAAGCGACTTAATTTTGATCTGAAATATTTGGGAGAGGCTTTCCGTAGTCTACAGATTAGACTGAAAGAACAACAGTATGCCTGCAGGAATCACAACAAGCATAACGCCTACATGATAACTAGAAACCAGATTTCATACCAGAAGCTTTGAGAGGACTCACATCTGGTTATAAAAACAATGAACAAAATATGAAGAGGATACCTGGAAGCTCCGTTAATCTATACTCAAAATACAGTACATGAGAACGACGGAGCTTCGGTTTAACCAGACCTGTAGCCCAACTCAACATAAGTTATTGTAGGCTCGGTATTCCTCCTACAGAACTCCCATCTCGCAGTTAATCTACTAAGCGACCTCACTGATCCGGACATTTATCTTACTATCCTTATATGAATTTGTGTGTGATAAATGGTTTTCAAAACTGACAATTTGAAGATTGAGACACTTATGCAGCATATGGGAATCTTTATTAACGAAAAGTTTCGCCACAAAGTGGCTCATCAGTCCAATACAAAGCAGCGAGGGGAAAGGAGAGTAGTTTGTCAGTGTTGAAAACCATTTATCACATCTGTCAGACACTGTCTCTTACTCCTCTTTGCTTCTGAACGACAAATATATTAATATGTTATAGAATACACTAGTAGAGATATATATATAATATATATATACATATAATAATATGAAATAATTATAAAAATACAGGAAAATAGGACGTTCCATAGAATGCGACATTAAACATAATTAAAACCATGACTGTCCCAGATTTAGGAAACTCATATTAGACAAACAAATTGTCATGTATGTCTGAAATATCGAGAATACTGATGAGGTGAGGCGGTCCGTCCTATTTAGAGGTTATAAAGCTCTGGTCTGTAGGTAAGCGACATAATGCAACAGTCAGGTACTTTGATTCGAACGTCCCTACAATACTTCTAGTGAGTACAGAAACGTAATAGAAGCAAAATACTTGCAACGTTATATATGCCATCACAAAGATTTAGGCCTGGTCAGAACCTCTTTGGACATGTTCCGTTGACTCAAACAATTGAAGTTTAGTCCTTTATTTCTCCAAGTGAACTAGTTGCTTTAGGCAGGGCAGTAGACTTCATAAATTCCACTATGTGGTTTCTGTACTAATTATATTTTAGACAGGAACACCTTTCCAGGCAAACCCCACTAAATTAATGAAACGACAAGCGTTTTCAATATGCCTTCGTGTTTGTTTAAAACCTTCTTCTTTAAATATACTTTTTAGAAATTTACATGGTTAATGTTCATTATTGTATTACCCTAACAACATGTGGTATTTCATCTCATTTTATATTCAACTTGCAGACACTGCAACCAAAAGGGATTGGCAGACCAACTTCGATACCTCTTATGTAGATAAGGGGGGTTTGAGAGACTGAAAGCAAACCTTACGTTACCCCCTGGCACTATATAAAGGCTTTCTGTCACTTACAATTCAACTGAAAAACAACAGTATCCTAGCAGGAATCACCACCATCAAAACGCTTTAATGTAGGACTGAAACCCAGTATTTTGCCATACCCGAACTCGACTGAAGAGCCTCGGTCGGTTTAAAAACAAATAACAAAATGTTAGGCATATGGAAGCTCCGTATAATCATTTACTTCAAATCTGTAGACATGAACACGGATCTTGGTTACCAGACCTTACCCAACCTCACATAAAGTTTTGAGACGGTACTCCCTCCCAACAGAACTCCCATCTCGGCATTTAAATACTAAGCGACCCTTTCACATGATCACCGGAAAATGTTATCTACTAACTACCACTCAATGACTTTGGGTGATGTGATAATCGTTCTTCAAGACTTTGCTTAGACCTTTCTGTACACGATGGGAAGCTTTGTTAGCGAAAAGTTTCGACAAAAAGTTTGTCATATAGTCCTTACAAACAACGAGTGGGTATTTGTCATTGAAAAATTTTCACATCTGTCAGACACTGTCAACACTATCTTTGTTCTGACCCCAAATCTATATAAACGCTTTTAATATAATCCCTCTAAAATATTATATCCTATATATAAACCATATTGTATTAAATATATTTTAAAAGAAAAATTCTCTCAGAAATAGACTGAACTCTCAAACAATACGGAAATGATTCCATTTAAACATAATTTATAAACCTTTCTGACACTCAAATAAGAAGCCCTAGTTAGCGAAACTTTCGAAATAAAGATTTCCTACTTGTCTTGAATATGTGATTACCTAACATTGGCGGTATTTCTACCATTTTAATGTTCAACGAGCTGTCTCAAGCTAGCTAGCCACAGTCGACGCTGAGAAGCACCAGAACAATGCAGAGTTTGGTGAGTTGTTCCTTACTTCTATTGTCTCTTATTATCACCAGAACCAAGACCTGGTTGAGTTATCTCTTACTTTCCAATGTTTACTGAAGATATGAAGACCTTGGTGAGTTTTTCTTACTCTCTTAGTCCTCTATATTTTTCCAGAATAACGTATTTCTAAACATTTTCAAGAATTTGGTAAGTTTTGATCGATATTTATTAAAAACAGTCATAAGAAATTAAGCTAATACCTAATTTAATCCAGCAGGTTATTGTTGCTGTGCTGGCCGCCTTCTGCTTGGCTGCCACAAGCGCTGCACCTTCCCCAGATGCTGAGCCTGGCTTCCTGGGAGGTTTCGGAGGCTTTGGTGGCTACGGAGGCTACGGAGGCTATGGTGGTGGATATTATCCCTATGGATTTTATCGGGGAAAAAGAAGCGCTGACGCCAACCCTAAGGCCGACGCTAAGCCTGAAGCTGATCCCGGTTACTTAGGTGGTCTGGGCTACGGAGGCTACGGTGGTTTTGGGGGCTATGGAGGCTTCGGAGGCTTCAGGGGAGGATATGGAGGCTACGGATACTACGGTTGATCATTGCATTTGTCAGCATTTAATACTAATCTCAAATTAAAACCTGAAAGAAATATAAAAAGCAGCCATATCTAAGAGATTTTATTGTTCCTTTTCATGTGTTGTCAGTGATAAAGCATATGAAGATTTTTTTTTATTTTGGAAAATAGAGATTTCACTAAAAAAAAAAAAAGAAAAAAAAAAATAGACTTGCAAGGTAGTGCCCCCACTTCTTAAACATTCGTGTAATGATTTGAACATATATGAACAATATTTTTTGAGGACGTTATAATATAAACCATACCACGGGTAGGGCTTGAACCCGGGGTTAGAGTCGTAAAACTCAGCCCTATATAGTTTGTTTGCAATCGTGTCATTACGATTTCGTGAGTCATAATGACTTGGTCTGGGACTGGGCCTCCGGGGTCGTTGACCCTCGGAACACACACCAGGTAGACTCCAGGTATATAAATTTAAATGAGAATATTCTACTCTCCACCTATCTCAGTAATAATATTAATGGTATACAATACCGACAGGTTGATGAATAAAACACAAACAACACTTGGGTAGCTTTATTGTCGAAATGTTTTGCCTGCGTAATAGGTTTCTTCAGACGAATACAGGCAAATACGAGAAACTTCAGAAAAATTATTTATCAGGTGATCAGTCCTTCATATTTTATATGAGGTGGTCAGTCTTTGAAGGCTGTAGCAAAGACATGGGTCCAGGCCTTATATAGTAGGAGAAGTGAGGTGTTGCAGATGGAGGTGTCGTCCCAGGTGAACCCCTTGTGGCCACTAGTTTATGGTCATGCTGAACCGTCTTTTAGCACAGGAGTTATAAAAGACTTCCCTGTACCATGATACCATGGTGTTACTGCATCAGAAGGTCATGTTAATGGTGGTATTCGAACTGACAAGTTCATCAGCAAGATATGTATACAACACTTGGATATCTTTATTGCTGAAACATTTCGCCTCTGCAACAGGCTTCTTCTATCAAATACAAGCGAAGATAACGCTGGAGACAGTGCAAGTAGTAGTTTTCAGCCCAGTCTTGGTAGCAGGTAAACAATTCCTCAAGCCTATAAAAGAGGCATGTTAAATTACTGTTTTGTATGACCAACTTCTACTGGCCAGTCAGGAGCTCCTGTGACGCATCTTCCAGTTGCTGCACCTCACGTCTGGTCCCATGTAAGGTCTGGCCGCACGCCTCTTCTATAGGCTTGAGGGAATGACCACCTACTGAGACCGACAGACTGATCACCTCAAAACTACTTCTGCATATAAGTAATTAATATGCATTCAAATAATTATAAATAGTTTGGGCTCGGTCTTCTGAACTCTCATTACCATATTCTCGATGATGCTTACCAACTTTCTGAGCGAGTCTTCATGTTTCTGTCTCGATCTCTTGCTCTTTGGTAGTGCGGTATAGAATATTGATCTATTCATTCCTTGAAGACTGACCATGGTGCCATTTCTCCCAATCACACCTCATTACTTGGTTCCCTGATGGGAATATCTCATTTGATATAGAGACTGATATATTTAATCTTGTATAAAAGAGTAGGTGGATATTTGTGTAGTGTTTGAATGGGTTATTTTCTACCTTATAGCCATAATTCTTATTTATAGTTTGACTTTCTGATTCCTGACCCCCAGAGTCATATCATACCAATTTTTAAAATCTGTTGCCTCCTTCATAACACTGAAAAAGTATTTTCTCACATTTCTGTGGATCAACAGGGGGCAACCTTCATGTTTAATCCCCGTGGCCTTTGGCAGCTCTTCACACGAGTTAAAGCGTTCGATATCCCGCGGTCATTTGCATTTTTTCCCTATTTTCGTATTCATGTCATATCCTTTTATGCTTTTCCTATCCTGGGGATAAGATCAAGTCCCAATAAATAAGTTCTTCTCATACTCACGCTTCTTTTTTCCGGCAACCCCAGGGTCATCCGAACGCTACCTTTGCAGCTTTTCGATTTTCGTTTCATGTGTCCATCTCTTCATAATATTTTTATTTCATATCATATTTATATGTAATTCCTTCATCTTTAATCAATCATTACTTTTCTATATCTTTTATCTTTTCCCAGTCACTCGCGCTAACCTTTGCATTCATTTCGTTTACTTGTGCCATCTTCAGACATTCTTGTAATATTTATTTTTTTATTTAAATATATGAATATTTATATACTCCTTCCCTTCCTGCTATATTAATTCACAAGCATTACTGTTCATCCTAATTTTTTTTTGTACCTTTGGAATTATATACTCTTGCCTACATTGTTATCCCTAATTTTAAATAATCCAGTAACAAACCATACCATACCGAGATCAGCCTGAGGCTGATCCCTGATATTCAGTTGGACTGAGTATAGAAGGTTCTGGTTGTTATGGAGGCATTGGTTGCCTTGGAGGCTTTGCTGAGTTTGGAGGCTATGGAGGATTCAAAGTAAGATACAGAAGTTGTGGATGTCGAGGCAATACAATTGTTGAGGCGGAAACTGTTCTCGGTTACTAATGCAATGTTGACGTCGGAGGCTGTGGAGGTTATGGTGACTATGGAGGTTTCAGAAGCTTTGAAGGTTATGGTAACATTAGAGGTTTTGGAGGTTATGGTGGTTATACAAAGTTCGTAGGCTTCAGAAGATGGATTTGGTGACTCATTATGTTCAACGTGCTAAAATATAATACTGTAACTTGTTATTCAACTACGTGTTAATTTAATTACTGCTAAACCACTACTATCTTTGTTGATGTATAAAAAACAATGTTAAATTCGAACCAACTGTGATACACATGTCTTGCATTAAGTAGTCTGTAAAGCATTAGGTTTAGTCGGCCTGAATTGTCTCGGCATAATAGTGTACTTAGCAAATGGAAACTTCGGAGGCTTCAGAGAATATAAGTTACTGCTGCTGCCTCTGAACGTCAGCAGCTGAGAACATTAACACCATTTTCTCACAATTATCCTTAATTTAATGACTGATGATATAAAAAGTAAACATATCCTAGATGTTTGATTCGTTGTGAAGCATTTGCATAATACAACAATGGTGTTATTTTTATGTCACAAATAAGTGTACTCGCTACTGGAGTATTCACTCTCAAAAATGAACTTTTTATATCAGTAATATTTAAAGACGCGAGAAAATTTTTTCTTAAAGAATTCTTTATGATATTGATGGTATTTTTAATTGGTTGGTTAATGAGGCTGAAAGAGTGTCGACTACACGATGCTTACGCAATGACCTAGAGTGTTAAGAGTCATTCACCATGGGTTCAAACCACACCCATTCCTTGTTTAATCCTGTATTTTTAACTTAAAACCAATACACTTCTATAAAAAAATTAATTAAAATGTTGATTGTTTCAGCATGAATTAAGTTATCATTCGTGAGGGTATGGCACACAGGGGCTTCACTTGTCTGTTGTATTCATCAAATATGTACACAAAAAAAAACTGAAACAATGTAATTAATCTTCGCTGTTCTTCAGCGAGTGTCAGGGGCCCAAGACTGTTCAACTGCCTCCCAGCATACAAAAGGGGGATTACCAATAGATCCCTGGCTGTCTTCAAGTAGGCACTGGATAGGCACCTAAAGTCAGTACGTGACCAGCCGGGCTGTAGTTCGCACGTCGGGTTACGTGCGGCCAACAGTAACAGCCTGGTTGAACAGGCCCTGATCCACCATCAGGCCTGGTCACAGACTGGGCCGCGGGGGCGTTAACCCCCGAAACCCTTTACAGGTATACTTACAGGTATACTTAGAGTTGTTCATGGATACATATATTATCATACATATATCATACATAGATTATCATACATAGATTATCATACATATATTATCACACATATTATCACACATATTATCATACATAGATCATCATATATAGATTATCATGCACAGATTATCATACATATATTATCATACATATATTGTCATATATAGATTATCATACTTATATTATCAAACATACATTATCATATATAGATTATCATACATATATTATCATACATAGATTATCATACATAGATTACCATATGTAGATTGTCATACATAGATTATCATACATAGATTCACAATACACAAATAACCCGCACATAGGGGAGAGAAGCTTGCGACGACGTTTCGGTCCGGCTTGGACCATTTACAAAGTGACTTTGTAAATGGTCCAAGTCGGACCGAGGCGTCGTCGTGGGCTTCTCTCTTTTGTGTGCGGGTTATTTGTGTATCGTTCCAGACACGGTATTGTGCCTTTTTTTGTTATTTATACATAGATTATCATGCATGGATATAAATGCTCTGGAAAACGTACAAAGGAGGATGACAAAAATGATCCCATGTGTCAGAAATCTTCCCTATGAGGATAGACTGAGGCCCTTAATCTGCACTTTCTGGAAAGGCGTAGAATTAGGGGGGATACGATCGAGGTGTATAAATGGAAAACAGGAATAAATAAAGGGGATGTAAATAGTGTGCTGAAAATTTCCAGCCAAGACAGGACTCGCAGCAATGGTTTCAAGTTGGAAAAATTCAGATTCAGGAAGGATATAGGAAAGCACTGGTTTGGTAAAAGAGTTGTGGATGAGTGGAACAAACTCCCGAGTACAGTTATTGAGGCTAAAACGTTGTGTAGTTTTAAAAATAGGTTAGATAAATACATGAGTGGGTGTGGGTGGGTGTGAGTTGAACCTGACTAGCTTGTGCTGCTGGGTCTGGTACAGTGCTCCATCCTTGAGTGGGGATGACCAGACTCGGTGGGTCATTGGGATAATCCGGGGGGGGGGGTCATTGGACTAATCCGGGGGGGGACATGGACCTGCTCCGCATGGGTCAGTAGGCCTGGTGCAGTGTTCCTTCTTTCTTATGTACTTACGGTCTTATGGGTGGGTGTGAGTGGGTGTAAAATGGACCTGACTAGCTACTAGGTCCGAAGGAGTGCTAATTCCTTAAGTGATGTGTCTGACCTCACTAGGTCAAGGTATTGGCTTAAGCCGTTGTGGAGTATTGGAGCTGCCTCACAAACACCAGTAGACCTGTTGCAGTCTTCCTTATTTCTTGTGAT